CCTCAAATAGTCATTGATTGCTAGGTCAGCTAACAAAAAATTCATATTTTTATGGAGTCGTTTGGCTCGCTTCCCCCCCCTTTGGACATTTTTCTGTTCGACATTGTTTTATCTTATGTTGCCCGGAACGCTACTGCTATCATCCTTTTACAAATTCTCCATCATTCTTTCCCCTTCCAAAGCTTTGGGCTTCGGCTTTAGTTGCTTTAAACGCAACGTACAAACGTCATTCACTCAATCTTGTTGGTCCTGGGTCTACACCCAGACGGTCCTTGGAAAGAAACAAAATTACCCACAAAACCCATTAAACGGCATGTATTACAAGCACTGCACCCAGTCGTGCGCGTTTTTTCTGTGGCCAAAGCTCCGTGTGGGTTTTCAAAACTGGTGTTTTTCCGAGTTCAGCAACAAACGGATGAATGGTGAGACTTCACCGACTCGGGCTACCACTGGAAGTCCATCTGGTTTTGAGGAGGTTTCCTGATAGGTCGAAATCGAAATTTCGATATGTCGTCTATAGATCTATAGACGACATATCGAAATTTCGATTTCGACCTATCAGGAAACCTCCTCAAAACCAGATGGACTTCCAGTGGTAGCCCGAGTCGGTGAAGTCTCACCATTCATCCGTTTGTTGCTGAACTCGGAAAAACACCAGTTTTGAAAACCCACACGGAGCTTTGGCCACAGAAAAAACGCGCACGACTGGGTGCAGTGCTTGTAATACATGCCGTTTAATGGGTTTTGTGGGTAATTTTGTTTCTTTCCAAGGACCGTCTGGGTGTAGACCCAGGACCAACAAGATTGAGTGAATGACGTTTGTACGTTGCGTTTAAAGCAACTAAAGCCGAAGCCCAAAGCTTTGGAAGGGGAAAGAATGATGGAGAATTTGTAAAAGGATGATAGCAGTAGCGTTCCGGGCAACATAAGATAAAACAATGTCGAACAGAAAAATGTCCAAAGGGGGGGGAAGCGAGCCAAACGACTCCATAAAAATATGAATTTTTTGTTAGCTGACCTAGCAATCAATGACTATTTGAGGTTACGGTGTATCATTAGGACCTGAAAATCATTGTTAGCGATATGCATGGATGAAAGTTCACCGAAAGCCATTCAATCAGACTGCGCACATCCAAGACAAGAGCAGGTGCCCAAGTTTTGGAAGCCAAGGACTAAGCTGCCAAGGTGGCGCGCGGGGAGGCTGGTCGTTTTACTATTTGAAACGGGCGATCACGTCATGTTAGGCAGGAGGGAGCGTTAGCTTTTGGCTCAGTTGAAGGATCCAGAGTGTCCGTTGTGCAAATAAGGGGTTTGATATGAACAGGGACAGCAAGACAATAATAAAATTTCGGGTATGACATTCCGAGAAAGTGAATAAGCACTGAAAATGAACCGGAAACTAACCGGTTAACTTAACAGAAAAGTAAGAATATGGGTCACCGGACATCGGATCAGTGGTGTCTGGTTACAGAAACGAATGATTCATGCCAAATAACCAAGAAGCGCTAGTCGTGATCGCAGACATTAAGGTGAAAACGTCTTTATACTAAATAAGTATGTAGTCGCTTCAAACATCACGAGGGAAGAACGAGTGTGTTATGTCTGGCTGATGAAACGGACTTGGAGTGGTGCAACCCAAATCAAGGCAGCGGTTGCAACGGCTTGCACTTTGGAGTAGAAAAGAGAGCCACTGGCCCTGAATATGCTAGCTATCTTAATATCACCTCGTAACAAAAAGGGATTCCTGGGTGATCAAATCAGCAACGTCAACAATGCATAGCAAGAACAGTAGCGGGCTAGGTACGCTACCATAAATAATCCCACTGGTGATGGAAAGGGGTGGCGAGGAAAAATCTCCGATCTTCGTGAGTTGGGTCCTCCTAGTAAGATAAGAAACTTACGAATTAGCGGGCCACCAATCCCCGTAGGTCGTAATTTCTTGTGCAGTACACGTGAGAGGTTGGTTAAACGCCTTGCATGTATCAAGATAGACAAGAATAATTACCACTCTGGCATCTTCTGTAGCCAAATAAATTTCTGCTGCTGCTCCCTTCCGGTTGATGCATTCACAATTAATGAAAATCCTTTTACTCACTCCACAGGGATCCCAGACATTCTTGTACACTCAGCTGTTCTCACTAAGTCCAGTTCCAAGTTGCCCGAGCACGTAGGCTCGACTCTCATATTGCGCTCCTCTCGCATTCGAGATGCAATGGCCGCCATTTTTAAGATATGCACACGTCCAAACTTGGAATTCTATCCCGAATTTCCTTCATTTTATACCCAAAGTAGTATGTTATGTTGACGACACGTTTGTTGTAGTCAAAAGAGATGACGTTAACAGCTTTCACGACTATCTCAATAGTTTAAGCCCACACATTAAGTTTAGCATGGAAATAGAGTCCACATGGGGCACATTAAACTTTCTGAACCGTAAAACACATAAGGTTGGTGGGAAATTGAAAACGACTATCTACCGAAAACCAATAGGCATGAGAACCGTCTTGAACTATTCATCAGCACACCCAAAGTCCGTGTACGCCAGTATTTTCTCGTCGATGTTCCGTCGAGTTAAGGCGCAGTGCATGGAAGAGATCGACCGGACGGCAGCTCAAATCGAGATTGCCAACACACTTCAAGAAATAGGATATCCAGTGAGTTTGATCAGGCGTCAACTAAGGAAGATTTTGGCTCCAGTATCAAGACCCAGTAAGGAGTGGATTGGCACAGCAGTCACTCCATATAAAGCAGGAACATCGGAGGGTTATCAAAGATTGTTGAACTTAGCCAACATTCGAGTAGCTTTTCAGAAGGGAAAAACGCTACTGTCAGTTTTGGTGCAACTGAAAGATCCCCTGCCGGCTGAAAGGACCAGTGACTGTGTGTACAAAATTAACTGCAACGATTGCGCTGAGGTTTATATAGGACAAACTGCCAGGGAATTGCACACCAGAATTGGTGAGCATAAAAGAAGAATTAACAAACCACCAAGGGATGCAGAAAACCAAACGCTGATCAAAGACCCAGCGATGGCGGTACATGCCTTAGACACGGGACATAGAATAGATCTGTAGAATGTGGAGTTTTAAGACGGAGACTGCGATTCACACCACAGCGGCTGATAGCCGAGGCAGTGGAAATCACTAAGCATCACAGCGTGAATAGAATCGAGGGTGTGGAACTGGCGAGCGTATGGAAAGCGGTCTTGGATAAGCCGAGTTGACACGTGACGGTGTGGTTTTCAATCTACTTAGGATCATTAGAAAAAAGCCGGGGGGTGTAACCCCCAACCGACCAAAGGTCGCAGTATCCCTCTTACACAACTTTCTTAGCACTAGCCAACCCACACAGACTAACAGAAGGTTCAAACGAAGTTCAAGAGGAACCATCAAATGAACCGAGCCAGAAGAACTAGACCCTAGGCTGGACCCGATCACATGTAGATTTCCCCACCGACCCAACACTTGTTCAACCACTCTAACACACTAAAACCCCTCCGGTTGACACCAACAGAGATTTAGCTTTACTGAGCTGATTGGTTCTCCTTCCATCTTAAATTTCGACCAACCTCGGAACCCAGTTACTTGACCTGTCGAAGCTTTTGTGTCAAAAGCAAAACGTTGCCCAGCAATAAATCTACCGATTGTCACTAAACTTTTTTGAAAACGATAGTACACTAGCACTTGAAAGCGTCCAACGCCCATTCACGAAAAGGATGTTCCCACGGTCCTTCCCTCTTTCCCACCATCTCGCTGTCAAATTTCAGGCCTTGAACCACCACTGCTCAGACGGTTTAAGCCAAATCTAACTTTTTTACGCCGTCTTCTGCACAAAAATATCTCCATAGTAGAGGCTAGACCAAACGCCAATCAACGTCCTCTCTGTACATTCGGTAACCCCAGCAGCCCCCTAATAAGCTCCCCAGCTCGTACAAACTTATGCCACTTTTTCTTTCTAGTTTACTACACTGGTACATATAACAATCTTCCTAAGCAGCTGTGAAATGACACGCACAGTCACACTTTTTTAAAATCCGTGGATAATTCGCTTACTTGTGAAACTGCTGCAGCCTTACATCTTACCAAACTACCCCCGATCTCATCTATGAATTTGGTCCCATACACTTTTGAGTGCGATGACGATACGGTTAGCGGGCAAGTATAGGATCCCGGCATTATATACTGCTATCCCCTTCACTTGCTTCAAGCCACAGTAGTGTGCTAAATGCCCGCTCGACCTGAATGTGTTGGGCTACCGACCTGCTTTTTTACTTCCAAGCACTTATATATCGTGCCAGCCGAATTCCAACCCCGGACTACTCTATCAGATCTATCTAACGACTGGTGTTCTGTTTGGCCCAGCGCTAACTAACAAAACCCAAACCGAAGTCGGCGTTTCTTCAAAACGATGTGTACATATATAATCCATCCGATTATGCGCTCCTCAGCCCACCAATCATGCATGTACAACATCGCACTACGCCCCCTGCTTGATATGGTACCTCAATAAAATACCCAGACGCCGCTTATCCATAGCGCACTTGCTCTGAACATCAATATACCATTCACACTGTCCCGTTAGAAGCTGCCATTTCCATTTGCCACATCCGCCACCTGTCTCTACCATAGTTTGATTCCCTTTTGGACTTTTTACTGGACACCGTTTTATCTGATGCCTACTAGCACCCAACGGACGTTACTGTTCCCCTTCTTATCTTTCCTCATTTCACCCTATTCTCTAGCTTCAAACTTCGGCTGCAATCGACCAAACACCCCGTGCAACCGTTATTCATTCAATCTGACTTGTTTCCGGTCCCCGCTCACATGGCCCTCCTATCACCATCACTTTAGGGCCGAGGTGCATTTGGTTGAACCTAGGCTTTCTTCACCGCCTAATCTACGGCGAGCTTACATAGCCGACTTCCTGAATTTTCTTCCTGCCCTCCCTACAGCATCCGCAACTCTGGATTTTTGCTCCCATTGTTCACCTGTCGGACTGTCCTTAAACAAAACTTTTTCCTTTGCCTCCCCATTTAAACTATGGAACAAGCTTCCCTCACATATTCGCACTATATCATCCCATGTAGGATTTCGAAAGACTCTCGATTCTAACTTTTCTGTTGATTGACCAGAGCACCCATTCGTGCCACAGATTACGCGTGGCACTTTCTTTGAAACGCGGCCAAGCACTTCTACTTTGTGCATCAACCCCAAATGCCCTATTATCTGGTCCTAGCGTGTACATCCATCAGCTTTATCCCCATAGCGCCAACCAGCAAGTGAAACAGCTACTTTCCACAGTGTTTTTATTCATAATTCACCATCTATTCTACCTATTATGCAGGCGTTCACCTTCTGTGACTACATCTGCACCTGCTTTCCGAAGTCTAGTTGTATTGCGAGTGTCTAGCGCCTGCCACTCTAACCGCTTTCATGCCCATCCCCACTGACCTCGTTGTATTTCCTTGCTTCCGGCATTAGGCTTCTGTTTTAAGAGAACTTATTTCTAGTTCTTTCAAGTCTCATCCCATCCTCGAATAATACTGTCACCTATGTTTAAATCCCTAAACTTAGCTCAACCGGAGACTTAATTTCTCGCTGTTCAGAACCATTCCGCATCATTTGACGATGTGCCGTGCACACAAATAGTGGATCTGAAGATACAAAATTAATGAAGTGCCGGTTTTGGCTCCACAACCCACAGAATTGCACATTTACATATCGCTATGATGCACCTTTTCTTGAAATAGTGGTTCACACCAATGCTTCGACATTGTTTATCCACAGCACGCAGACTCTGAACATTTCCATTCCAGTCCCACTGCCCAAAACGTAGCTGCTGTTTTGTTTGCCTCCGCAACTTTCTTCATAAATAGGCTGTTTGCTGTTTGCTTTTTCGAAACGACAGCTGTTTCATTGGTCTGACCCCCCTTTGACCGGATAGAAAATTTGGTAGCCGGAGTTATTTAATAACGCATAAGCCGCATTTGCGACTACTTGTTAGTTTTCTCCTTGCAGAATTTGTAGTGTGCATGGGGGATGAAAAACTTGTGTGGTGGACGGGTACGTTCTGCAGCGAGTGTCGCCTTGTTATGTTGTACCATGTTGCGTTCGCATATCCGCCGCCCCTTCAGTAGCACTGGTGCATCGCAAATCTTTTGTGCTTCTGAACCTGGCCTTTAAGTCGGGAAAACCATTGTTTTTGTCTGTAGCTGGATCGGACTCGTCCCTGTTGTGACTTGTCTGGCAACACTAAGGAATACATGTGAATAACAGCTGTCCTTTCTTTTGATTTTAAAAAAGTTGTATATGCATGGGTAGCCTGAAGGTACTGAAAGTGGTTCACGGCCAGCGCCGACGTGAAAAAAGTTGCCACCTGCCTCTTAGGCGGGTTGCACAACCCCAAGTCCACTTCATCATCTAGACGTAACACACATTTCCCCTCCTGTTCTCGGAGGCTATAATATACACACGAAGTGTCAATTCCTTAATATTTCCTGATTACTAGAAATCACAGCAACCGACGAAAGGTTGCCTTTTCCATGCACCCAGTGACTGGCGACCCATAATCTTGCCTTCTTGTTGAGTTGGCTTGGTCCTTCCAGTCAAACTACGGTTCCTATCCATTATCTCAGAAGTTGTTATCTAACCGTTTACTATTTGTCTGCTGTCCGTGTTTACATTAACGCTGCTTTTCAGAGCAGAGACCATACAATATGAATTCTTCGTTGAGATAAGAACTAACGGCGTGTAATCTAAACGCCTGATAGCCTGCTGCAGATAGTCCAACAGCTAGCCACTCCGCTGCTAACTCGGCGTCTAAGTCGTGACATTCCCAAAAATTTGGCACCTACTACGGCCCAGCATGTATTCGGCCTCTGTGCCACCCGAAATATCGTCCTACTGAATTCATTCAGCATGCATTCATCTCGTTTTGGATTTTTTATTGGACACCGTTTTATCTGATGGCTCCTAGTACCCACCAGACGCTATTGTTCTCATCCTTATGTTTCCTCATTCCACCCTATTCCCAAGCTTCAAACTTCGGCTGCAATCGCCTAAACGCCCCGTGCAACCGTTATTTATTCAATCTGGCTTGTTTCCGGTCTACACTCACATGGTCCTCCTATAGATCGGAAATTTTCCGTGACTCTGCATCGGCCTGACTTTATCTGTGTCAATTTACTCGTCTAACCCAGATCCGGCTGCCAGGGAAATGCGTATCCCCTGTCCGATTGCGGCAACCTTGACGACCATGACGGCGTTGTCCAGAAGCCGAAGCACGTTGCTGTAATGATGGCGTGGCAGCGCTATACCCAGTCTGATGGTACTCCCGAAACTATTCACTCCTTACATTTGAAGATGCCTTCTCACCAATGCGTTCCTCTACCTGCAACTGAGAATAAATTCGTCACCTATTCCCAGCCGCCCCCGGGATGCACTCTATACAATCTACTGAAGCTTCCGTTCGGATGTAAATATCTAGTCTTTACCCCATGTTTACCATAAGGCCCGTCATTTCCTGTGCAGTTAGCATTCCGTCTTGTGCGTTAGCACAAAAGTTCCTCCTTCATTAAACTTCACACCCACTCCTACAGAGACACCAATGAGTCGCTACAGTTTCAGTGTGCACCGCGACTATGAGATTGCTTCTACCACCTATGTGTATCGCTGATTCCTCTACTTCGTCATCATCACTTACGATTTTTGTGACCCTGACCATAAGCCCAGCAGTCAAAGACCGACAAAGCCATATCAATGATTGTAGGCTGTAGTTCAGATTGACAAACCGGATCGTGACAACCCAGCTGGCGCACCAGATTCGTTGTTCTGGTTCACCATTTTTCGCGATTTGCAGTTTTCTCGTCATGCATCAAACAGGAGGCCTCCCTTTCTCCATCTCTCGTGTTTTTTCCGTCACCTTCAAACCCTAACGATCTGATCTTGTTTCACTTGACATTTTCCTCCGAAAGTACGATAAACTGCTAACAACTGTGTTTCATTTCCCACGCCGGTTTATGCATGGTAGAGTCTGCATCGGATATTGCCCACCGTTTGTGACTGTCCTTTTTTCGCGCAAACCCCGGTATTCACCGATCTCCCAGTCGTGCTTTATTCCGAACGTAATCGTGTGATCAAGCCTGACGGTATGTCATCCACTAGTTGAAAATAAATATTCATATTATTATTGTGTGGTGCGGTTGAGAGGTCCTGCCAAGGGCCTGGGTTGCACAATTTACTGATCCACAGTTATGTTTATGCGGAATTCGTGGTATAGTAGTGTTTTTTGATGGAGGGCGAATAGTAGGATCTCGGAGGTTTATTGCTGTAGATGTCGTTAGGATAAGGGGCTTCGACAACGGGTGTTTGAGCACAAGGGAACGCTTCGGTGGGAAGACAAAAATAGCGTTAGGGTCCGATGGTCTGGAGGAAGAAAATGTGCTGTCACTCTTGATTGCGCACTCAAGTTCGTGCTGATGGGATACCTTACCTCTTGCATCAGAAGTCGGTCCTGTTGGTGTGTTGGTGTTCAGAGATTATATATAAGTATTCGACGGTAGAAGTGGCGAACTTATGGTCACGAGGGTGGGGGCGGTGCAAGGAACTGACAGGCAGGTTTGGCAGTGACAATATTCAGCGCCATAATATGGCAATCTTAAAAGATCGCTGAGGTAGTGTTAGGAATCTGGGGTTAACACGTCAACTCCTGTATTATTGGGGACGGCTGGACGAGCGACTGGCATAGGATGGGCTTTAGTGTTGTTGTGTTGGAGGAGCGGTCGGTTGTCAAACAGAAGTTGATGCGAGTGCATGAGAGGCCAGGTCGGTTGGCGAACTCAGCACTCTGTTATTTAAATCCAAGGGTTGTCGGCTACTACGCGCAAGTATGTCAATGGCGATCCGGCTTTCGCCGTTGCCGTTGGCCGCATGTGAATCCTGCCACTGATTACGCAGAGATTTTTGATTACGGCATATGGTTGATGGGAAGAGTGATCCATCTAGCGGCCTTCGTCCGTATATTTTATAGCTTTGGATGGCGAACTTTTAATACAACGTCAATGCAGTTGGGTGCGATCGCCTCTGACCTTCAATTGTTTGGGGTTTCGGGATAGAGGACAGAAAGGCTTGGGACGCCAGTAGGCATATGGCGTCGTTTTTGTGTTTGAACCGCACAACTATTAGGCACAGCAAACACGGTTTCGACCTTCGAAGTCGTCGATCAGTAGTGTAATGCATGTTATATGCTGTCAGACAACAGTTTTTGTAAATTCGATAGTGAGCCTATCAGAGGCGTTGTATGTTAAAACCCGGTGACGGCAATCCAAACGCTGGAAAATCTTACAGATTTTGCGCGTTGCATGTTTCACTAAGATACAGGAGGTGTGCAATTGACTGTATGCTTCAGGGAGAAGCTGGTTTATTCTCATTCTCTGCACACATGTTTCGAAGTTAACCAGATCTGTGTGACTCCGCGATTCCCCTTGTAGGAGAGCAAGAAGAAGCTGCTGAGTGGGACTTGAATAGAGATATCTGTCGGCACGATTTAAACAGTTAGAATTGACTTGAAGTGCCCTGTCGACCGACTTTAAAAAGTGACATGACTAATCGCTGAACCTTTTGGCATCGAGACGCTTTTTTGACAAATTAAGGGGATATTTGATGAAGATTCGACGTAAAACAATCGCTTAGAGGACGGTGGTAGTAGTGGGATTATCTTATCTCATCAGGAGCACGCAAACTCGGGAAGCTGGCAGATACTGGGGATTATGGCTGGGTCCGTTTTCAAACGTGAGCAAGAATGCTGCGATTTGGTGCCTGTGAATTAAGACCCTAATGTGCGTGAGGGTGCTAATAGGGTCAACTATGAGATGGTTGCAAGTTACGGTGGGGATGGTGGAAGTGCTGTTATTTGCGGGTGTGTGAAAGTATAAATCCGTCTTGGATCTGCTACTGACAAGTTCAGATGTATAAAAATGTTTACTCAAATAGGGAAGAACCAGAGGGATGGTGAGTAAGCCATTGAGGGTGCGCTCTAGATAAGAAAATAATTAGTGAACAATATTGACTTGAAACGCTACGGGCGGGATAGGTTCAAACAATATTTTGAAGCACTGACTTTGAGATTTTACTTTCTCCCTAACTCTGCAAGATAGCGTAATCCAACGGCCAACGACGGTTCTTGATACTCACAAGCCAACGCGCTGTCTCCCCTCTTAGCTGCTTTTGCAGCTACTGGGCCTCTTTTTGGCGCCGCTAAATGTGAGCTATCAGCCATGCTTGGTAGCCTGATGCGATGGCCAAAATTGCCCATTCCTCATCTTAACCGTATACTTTGCCCCTCCACCGTGTCGGCGTCCAAATCCTACAAAACCAACATATGTGATATATCTTACTGTTTATTTATTAAACTGCTGCAGCCATTATGATCCCATCTCCCATCTTTGTCCTGCCAGACAACCACCTCTGATCATTGGAGCTGTTAGCGGAATGCATACGTTTCGAACAACATCTTGAAAACCGTCTATTCCCACCACTGCTCTTCCTACCTGGCTTCATGGACTACTACATAACTGGCTGTAACCTTATTAGCACTCCGTTAATCCAGTGCACGTCCGTCATTTTCACATATGACCACCCGTTCGCATCAACTGTCTGTTACGATTCCTTGTACCTAGATTATTGTTCTTGAGATAGGATAGTGTTGCCACACCACAATAGTAAGAAATTTTGAACACCTGCCACCAGCTGTTTCAGGCCACAGTTCAACTTAAACCTCAGGGTCTTTTGGAGCCGTTATCACATTTCGAATTCTTGGTCTAGATACGGTTATAAAGAGCACTGCTCCCTCGACGGATACAAGAATATGCTTGCAGCATGTTCTCAATTCGTCAACTATTATGACAACATTAAATGGTCCACTAAAGGCGCTCATGAAGAGCTGCCTACAAACCAAGGTTTGGCGTTTCGATTGCAGTTCTGCGACTGGCATACTGAGTCTGACAAGTAGTCCGTAGTTCACCACATGTGTACCATTTCCTGATGAAGGGCGAATCAAGAGCCAACAAGCCCGGCTAGGTATAGCGGATTCGCTCCAAGACTCCACAGTAGTGCCCATAACGGCAAACTATCTGCTAACTCCACTCATGAATTCACTAATTATTTCTGTAATGCTAACAAATAGTCATTGTACTGGTGAAGACAGAACCTCGACGGATACATGATGCAGCTTGTAGGGACTGCCATAAGAGAGCAACCAATCTAGCTAGCTGCATCGAATTACTTGACTTTGTAAGCCTGCCGCATATACCAGAAACTTCTTCCCGCACAATTTATAAATGACCGCTACGACTTGAGTCAACGCATACAAAGACTACGTAATTATTGTTCACGTATTCCTTCAAAATACCTTCAAATGCAATAAAGGAGAAACAACAGAGCAGATAAAACCGAGCCATAGCAGTTATTAACTTTATGAACTGCACAAACAAAGTAGACCTAAGCACGCTTAAAATTTTTAGAAAAACTGAAACGGTTTGATAACATACCCTCGAATGCTATAAAATCTTTCATTCGAAACGATGGCTTCAGAGAAATGTGAAGGGAGCGGCAAAACGCCGGCATCAAAGTAATTTTATGCGACTTCCTAATTTAAGTGAGCTGTTAAGTTGGTCAATTTACCGCGATCAGCAAATACCTCAAGCCAAAAATAAAACCGTGCCCTCCGTTTTTCTGTAAAATGAATACTATCTGTAGCACGCTTAAGCTCGCAACGCACCCATTGAAGCAAATGTTGCAGGAGGCTTGCCTGCGCATGGTAATTTGGTTTATTTTACTTCAGCTTGAGGAAGCAGATACGGATACCTAAGAACTTATAATTAAGGAAAACTTGCTCTAAGAATTTTTTCATGAAGTAAACTTTAACGTCCATTAATTTGAACGAAGTTGCGTGAAATCAGGACTTCAGTGTGTATGTTTAACTCCCAGGATTCCAAATAACTAGAAAGTGAACCGGTGTTTTCCATGAGGGGTGCGTTACCAGACCCGTGAACGGAGTCCACTCTGAAAAATCTTCTGACATCACCGTGGAGTAAGCAGTATACTGGCAGCATTGTCAGCGTTCACGAATGGCATTCCATAATACTTAACCACAGTCATTTTCAGGGGGCCGTCACCAGAAGTGAAGCCACAGAGGTGTGCCGTGAGGATCCATTGAACAATGCTGGAAATCATAACAAACCTCAAACGTCCCCAATGTAACCTGCGCAGGCTTACCTCGGACCAGTAGAAGGGGAAAGTCTCCCAGTGCAGAGATGTCTAGTGACCAACTACCAGGCAGATGTGGACTATCTGACAGGTAAGTAAAACCTTCATTTGCTCGATTTTTTTGAAATCTTAAATCGCCAGGCCTCCTTTTATAGTTTCTTGGACGTCGGCTGAATGTTGGCCAGTAGTGTTGAAACGCTGCAAAACGGTTGAATAATTTCGACATTGACCTTCATCAAATGCAGGGATGGGGCTTTAAAATCTGACAAGACGCTACTTGCATGTTCGCCAAGTAAACGTGCACCGCATTATCGGTGGTCAGTGAAACGAGCGGCCAGATCACAAGGTTTACAAAAAGCAACTTAAGTATGCTGGGAATGCTACATGGGTTGCCACCACTCATGCTAAGTCACCGATGAAAAACACTCCCTTAAGGACATTGATAATTGGCGAAGCAGCTCTTTTCCATGGACTTTCGTGGTTTTTCACATCCACTTTTACCACCCCCTCTGGTAAAATAGACTTCTGAAGCCATTGAATGACGGCTTCAGACGCTTGGAAACCAGTGTTAATGGTAGTCATTCCTCTGAAAATTTCATCCCGTCGCACACCGGTAATCAGGGGTTTATGCCCGAGAAGGTTCTTTTGAATAAGTTACCTCAATTCGCTATGCGGAATCGCCCTTGAATACCGAAAATAAATAAACGCTGCGATCTACGTGACCAAAGAGAAGAGGCGTGCACATTTACTAGCACGAGTCAATCGTCTAAAAGCGCCAATAGCTTTGTACCAAAATTGCTACCAGTGAACTAGCGGTCGCACGCGGGTCGCGACGGAGCGTGCATGCTTTCTGGGCAACAAAAGGATATCCTTTTATGCGGAATTGAGTAAACGAGACATACGACGGCATATACAACAACCGGTGACAATAGACGCGAAGGATTTGGAAATTTTATATGGTGCGTACATATGTATGACACATGTATGGACATAACCAAACATAAAATGCAGCCGAACGCCAGTCGAGCTTCTGGAAATTTTTAAAAGCCGTACACAAAACGAATATGAAGTATCGAAGGCGGTTGCGTGCTAAAATAAAATATTCAGCGTGTTCCCGCAATTGCAAAATCTACCCAGGTCCATGAGTGTGTCAGCCAGTAAAACCGGGCGATAAACTCAACGTAGCTGCTTGTAAATACCATCAGTAGTTGTGTACGCCTACGGTAGTCGGGTTTTATCCGAACTCCACTGAGCGCACTTGAGACTTCGATGGTCCGTATGTCGGCAGGGCGTTGCACGTGCCCAAATTCTCTAGATAACGTCGATTTGAAGACAGTTGGTCGCACACTCATTTAGCCGTAAACTAGATCGTAACAGTTGACTAAAAAAGGCCTTCACGTCTTTTCAGACAAAATTAACATAGCACTTGATGCGTCGCAAAATGCTCGTAATTAAAATTCACTTAATATACTAGCTTCGTCTGAGTTCGCAATTGTTAGGTCTGCGACTTTGAAGTTCATTTACTGGGTCGGTTGTACAACCGGTCGTTATGTAAAAGAGAATGACAGCTTCTTCCACAGCTTTGTGAAAAAAACATCACATGGCCATTCATCACTCCATTGTCCGACAACTTCGCAAAGATTGTAAAGAATATCGAGCCTGTGGCAATCATTTTCCAAGAGAACAATGCCTCTGGAATTGAAACAACAACTTGCTGACTCATGACGACAGACAGTAGGTTTCAGGATCAAAACGGGTGAAAATGAGCACAAATGGATAACACCTCAAACAACATTTAGCAGTGGCATGGCGGATTACAGACATTCTTATTCTAAGTATCACCAGGAAAATTTCACATTTTAAAGCACAACTACCTCCTATTCACTATAATTTTGAAGAAAATATCGTGTTCTTCGTAGGCATTGGTTGCAGATGGTGTACAACACTCCTATTATTGTTACAACTTTTTATCTTCCACCTGATGACATAGGTTTCCGAGAGATACACGCAAACGTAAAATCAGTGATACTATCAGACACCGCGATTTTATGGAATACTTCCTGGGATCGTGGTGTTTTGGGGGATATTTTGAGCACGCGTTGAACGACACAGTAAGCTTGGTGCATTCCGATTGATCAAAATAAAACTATTTGATTTACGTTTGAAGTAAGGTTAAGTGAAGCCGGATATAGCCAACAGAATGCATTTCATTGTTAAGAAAATAGTCAAGGCACGTACTTTTGTTCATGAGCGGTTCGCAATAGCCCACAGAAAGGACTCTTGTTGAATACCACTTTATTCGGCCATCCTAAAACACTCGGCCGTGTTTCATACTTTTTTATTCTCCATTGGTTCAAGCCTCGTTGGATTTGAGGGAGCAGTTTTACGCGACACTGAATTTCTTTTGCAAAAGGACAGACAAGGCTCACCCAACTGTTGCTCCGCAGTTGTCTATGGATGCACTTGAGGATTGCCCCTTCTCTAATCTACACTAGATGTCGTGATACCTCGCCTTTCACACGTGATAGGGAGCTCTAGAGCCCCATCTCGAGCGCATTTCTGATGGATATCAACACAGCAAGGTAGCTGCTATTGCAGCGATGGTTGGGCGACGCAGTTTTTAGAATTGTCCTTTCGATGAAACTCGAAGAACACCAGAAATGACCGGAATATGTTATATGTGTCTGGACTGCATCCTTGACGTCTTTCCGCCTCCCTCACAAACGCTCGGTTCAAAATTGACTTTCTACCCTTTGGATCATTGAGCACGCCTTTCCACTTGTTACTCGTCCAGAATTTCAAACACCGTTTGGACTGGCACGCTTGAGAACCCTCTTAAATCGTCTACCAGTCCGTTACCATATAACTGATAAAGTCCTAACACCATTTGAATGTGTCCAACGAGCTTCCACAAAGCTGGTTGCCAGCCTCACAGCCGTTGACCAAGAAACGCGGCTGGAGTTTATTGGGTCCTTTCTCCATACTGTCGTTGCTCCTCAGAGGGCCCGATATTCACGCCTTGTTTAAGCAACTTCTGGCGGAAATACAATTCGGAGAGTCGGTAAGAGGCTGTAGTGCGTAACTTTATTAGATGGCGCCTGTTCTAATTTCATTCCTGAACTGGGTCACATCTAGGGCCTAGCTGAAACCACTCTTAAAGACTTCTGCACGCGGGTCCCCCCACTGGCAAAGCTGAAAACCTGAAGAGAGGGCCACACCGTTTTTCGCCAGTGCCTCTTGGGTGAGCCAAAGACCGCAAATGACAAGAATTAACCACGTGCGGGATGGTGAGCGAAACGCCTTTATCAATCCGTAAGTCAGCTGCTCAAGGCCACGGAAAATCGTAGTGCACGTTTGCCGCGAATTTTGAACTCGTGCGCCTCGCTTTCGCATAGCTTGCTTCCCGCTTGGAAACCGGTGCGCAACATCAACGTCAGCAGTACGGAATTTCCGACTGACGCAGTTACGGGCGCTCGTGAGCACTACTGTTGTTTGGTTCGTGTATCTTAGTTATGGACTTATCGTGAAGTAGCCACTGGAAAATCCGTAAGTCCCGGGACCACTCAGCTTCGTATTTCTGTGACACGAATGACGTATAAGTGCATGGATTCTGCCAGAGGAGTATCCCCACTGACTGCAATGAATTGCAGACGGCATGTGGGATAAACTCTGGCCCAAGTGACCACAGATCTTCACAGGATATTCACTCGATTGATGTGACTTCCTCGTTCAAGCACTCCAGTGGCGGTTTAAGGAGGATTTGATGCAAGGGTTTTCATTCCATTCAATAAAATACTCGGACAACCCACCGAATTGCAGTGGTGGAGAACGACATTCGACGCTGTTTTAGCTACTTTCCGCCTTCCAAAGGACGTACGCCACTTCGCAATACCTAGCCCGTTTGGTCGTTTTCACCCCCACAGAAAACGGCACTGGCCACAATCAAATACAGGATTTTCTGTTCATTTAGAAGTACGAACATCTATAGATAACGTGCACTTTTTCAGTTATTTCGGCCTTAATGCATTTGTTCTGTATTCAGGTTAGAAGTGCTGTGGGATATTTCTGCACGCAGACCGTGGCACTAGTGGAACATTGATAATATGAAGATTAGAGGTGGTGATATGCTGGTTCATAACTATTTGATGGTAAAAGCCCTAATGGTTGTAATAATAAAAACGTATTCATGTCTGGGTACTTCATTTATTGTGGCCTGGGCCGGCCGCGCACACACGAAACCCTTCCGTGTGTGCCGTGTAGCAGGCAGTAGGATGAGTGCAATGGTCTTTCGAAAGTCTTTACACGTATTCCTCTGAATAAACGTTCCCACAGCTTTGTTTACTTGGCTGAAGGTTTTTTGCCAAGCCAATTTCCCATGAATCTCCCACGAGATTGTTACTATTTCACTACTGAAGTTGGACATACAGGGTTATCGTCATGGGCAGCACGACATTAGTATTAAACTCTGATTCTTCGCTGTCTTACAACCATGATTTATTTGAAAGTCTCATAAAGAAAAGAATAAACGTGGACGGGGAAGGGACTTTGTGCTCACTACTATCATTCCGAGGTACCTACACCTCCAGACACTCATTCAGGTAA